CCCCCTTCATACACCAAATTGTTTGGCTTTGCAAAAAAATTGCCGCAATGATGAACTTCAACAGTGAAATATGGAGAATTACCACCTGCATGCAAACGGTAGGAAATTCAAAAACAAATATCCAACAAGAATTTGAAACAGATACGCATAACTCATGAACATTTTGCAGAAACAACATAAACCCCCCAATTTCACACATAAATCAGAAACCGAATCATCATAAAAAAATTGTTCACTTTGGAAACTGACAACTCTCACATGGTTCCACAACACTCACACGTCAAAAAGTTCCAAAAATGTGGTTACTGCACATCACGATTAAGGTAGCCCAAACTGAAATTGGGTGAATGCAGCCCATTTTTTGGGGTTAAATTCATGTAGAGGATTGATAGATTGAAGAACATATCGTACTCTGGTGGATCATCTCCGGGGTCCCTAAAAATCGGCTGACGCATGTTGAGTGTAAGTCTAAGTGCTTCGAGTATATATCTGCAAAACGGTGATAAAACACTAGAAAACTAAATGAAAACGTTCGATCAAGCCAAAAATCGAAAGAACTGTCAAACATTTGGAAACCATTTCTTACAGTCGCTCGCTTCTCATTGGGGGATTCAACAAATCTTGGGCCGTGAATGACGAGGCGATGAACGAAAAGGAAAAGGCGGTGAACGAAAGATGAGGGTAAGGCGTGATATGGAGACACCCACGTCCGTCTGTCTCCCTTCCGAGTCCTTTGTTTTTGCGAAACGGAAGTGAAGGGATGGAAGTTAGGGGGCGTTCCGACGGTTTTACCCTTTTGTTTGGAAAATAAAAATCATTTTTTAATGGATTTAACGGTGTATTCTAACGGGAATTGGACGGAAGGATGTTTTTGCGCAAGAAAATGCAAAGGTAGGGACGTCCATCACCAAAAAATCAAACGCAGGGACGTTTTTTACAAAACTTGTCATAGGTAGGGACATTTTGCGCCAATTACCCCTTAATATATCATTTCACTAATTAAATAAGTCTGGTGCTAGGTGTCCAATTTTTTTTTTTTTGCTAGATAAGGAAAATATTAACTATTGAATTTTTATGATTCTTCTCTTATTTGACAAGTAACAAAAAAGTTTCATGCTTCTTAAGCGCAAAAGGTTTTAATATGTTAAGATCGGTCTAATGAAATGTAATTTTATATAATTTTAATGTACTATGATGAATTGAACACGATGATTGGATGAGATAAAGGATAAACATATCAAATGTTACACTTTCTTATTGGATAAATTCGTCCAAGGGTTTTCAATCCTTTCCAAGTGACGTTCATGTTCCCAACCTTTTTACACTGTTCACACAATATTCCAACTCAATGGAAACTTCTAATTATCTAAATAAACGATAAAAGATATTTCCACTGGTATACGATAAAAAAATGGTGAATATAATTGGACAAAAATAATCTCCCTCCAAAAGTAGTTGTCCAAATTATAGTTGTATCATCATCATTTTAAAAGTCTACAATGTGGTTTTTGAGATATTTTTAGTCGAGTTGGAACATTGTAAGTATAATGTGAAAGATTGGGATAGTGATAATATAAACTAAAATTTGAGGACATAAATGTCACACTTAAGAAAGGTTGGGGATCCCTAGAGGAATTTACCCTCTTCCTCTGCAAGTCTACAAAAACTGTGGCAAATTATCTGGAAAGGGCTTGAGGAACCGCAAAATGCCACCCCAACCCCCACCGCCCCTCACCAAGCCCCATAAGCCCTACTTCTTCTACGGTCACCGGAAGCCCACTCAGAACCGCCCCACCGTACGTGGAGGCCTGTTCTCCAACCGCCAATTACTCAACCCTAAAAAATTAAGCTTCCCCACCACCACAACCGAGCCCTTTGACCTACAAAAGTGGGACCCAGATGACAAAAATAACCAGGGAGCACGATATACGAAGGACCCGTCGGAGCAATTCTTCTCCGTGGCCAAAAATCTATCGCCCATTGCTAGATACATTGTGGATGCGTTCAGGAAACACAGGCAGTGGGGGCCTCAACTAGTGGCGGAGCTCAATAGGTTGCGCCGTGTCACGCCTAATCTGGTGACGGAGGTTCTGAAGTTTCCCAATGTTGATCCTAGGCTCTCTTCTAAATTCTTTCATTGGGCTGGTATGAAGAAACTTAAAACTACTCCCTTTTTTATCTATGGATGCATGTGAGTGTGAATCTTTCTTTTTGATATCCAGTACATATACTGTACATATGGAAAATTTCTCTTGCAATAACTTCATACATAATATTAATCCATTCACTCGTTATACATTCTGAAATGCTTGTAGACCGTCACTATAAGGGATATATGAGACAGATTATGTACTGCTTATGTTGTTGCGGATTAAGGGGTGCAATTCTAGAAGACATGATAGTGTAAATTTTTTTTTCGAGAATAGAATAGAACAGAATAGAATCTTCACTTAAAGCGAATACACAATCGCATGCTGACATATCTCTTGCACTTCTTTTGTCATTCAGCGAAGCACTAAAAGGAACGGTTTTGGCTGTTTTCTTATGTTTAAATTTATGTTTGCCTGCATGTTATTGTCATTCTTAAACGTGGGTCAAAATTTTGTTGTTACCGAATTTGGTGATTGATTAACAAATCAAGAACCCTTTTTGAGTTTTTGATACTTTTAGTGAGTGTAATTATAGAATGCTAGCAACAAGATCCATTACTTGCTGTTTTTTCTTTTTTGAAGAAAAAAAGGCGGAAGAGAAGGGATCCTTTCTTACATGGCATGGACATTTATTTTGACAGATGATATATTACTGTATGATTTAATCTGCATGACAAGTGGTGAAACATGTACATGATTTTTATTTTCAATTAAGAGGGGTTTATTACTTTGAAGCTGCATTAAGGAAATAAAATTAACCTTGCAAGTTATGACTCATTACCATGTATGTTATGAGCATTGAAATGAGAGTGAGCAGTTGTAGATAGTATTATGTTGGTTTATTGTACTTCCTATTGTCGAATCAACTTTACACCATTAAGTTAGGAGAATGATCTATCATGTTATTTGATGCATACTAGATTCATTTGTCTGATTATGCAAATTCACTTGTTTGATTTCTGTGTGCGGATTGTGGAGTGACAGTGATCACGATTCTGTGTATTTTCAACCATTTACTTATTGTTTGAATTTTGACTGATAGGTAAGCAGAAGGGATACAGACATGATTTTGCGTGTTACAATGCATTTGCCTATTTTTTGAATAGGGTGAATCAGTTTCGGGCTGCTGATCAGGTGCCTGAGTTAATGCATATGCAAGGGAAACCGCCCAGTGAGAAACAGTTTGAAATATTGATCAGGATGCACGCTGATGAAAACAGGGGTCTGAGGGTGTACTACGTGTATGAGAAAATGAAGAAATTCGGGGTGAAGCCAAGAGTCTTTCTGTATAATAGAATAATGGATGCCTTAGTTAAGACCGATCATCTAGATTTAGCCATCTCTGTTTACAATGATTTCAAGGAGGATGGGTTGGTGGAAGAGAGTGTCACTTTTATGATTTTGATAAAGGGCTTGTGTAAAGCAGGACGGATGGATGAAGTGTTTGACCTTTTAGGTCGGATGAGGAATAATCTGTGCAAACCAGATGTGTTTGCTTACACAGCAATGGTAAAGGTGTTGGTTTCAGAGGGAAATCTGGAAAGTTGTTTGAGGGTTTGGGAGGAAATGCAGAGGGATGGGGTTCATCCTGACGTCATGGCTTATTCCACTTTAATCATGGCATTATGTGAAGGGAACCGGGTTGATAAAGGTTATGAATTGTTTAAGGATATGAAAGAGAGGAAGTATTTGATAGATAGAGCTATTTATGGGTCTTTGATTGAAGCATATGTGGCAGATCAGAAGGTTGCTTCGGCTTGTGATTTGCTAAAAGATTTGATGGACTCAGGATACAGGGCTGATTTGTCAATATATAACTCCCTTATCAAAGGTCTATGCAATGTGCAACAGGTTGACAGGGCTTATAAACTTCTCCAAGTAACAATTCAAGAGGATCTCCAGCCAGATTTTTCTACTATAAATCCTATCTTGGTGTCTTATGCAGAGTTAAAAAGAATGGATGAATTTTGTATATTGCTTGCACAAATGCAGAAATTGGGTTATTGGTTAATTGATGATCTGTCGAAATTCTTCTCTTTTATGGTGGAGAAGGATGACAGAGTAACAATGGCTTTAGAAGTGTTTGACTACTTGAAAAAGAAAAACTATCGTACTGTTTCAGTTTACAATATATTTATGGAGTCTCTGCTCAAGAATGGTGAAGTGGACAAGGCATTAGAACTGTTTCATGAGCTCAATGATTCAGACTTGGTTCCTGACTCGATAACTTACAGTAATGCAATTCTATGTTATGTTGAAGTTGGAAATATACATGAAGCATGTACGTGGTACAACAGGATCAAAGAATCCTCTTCAGTTCCCTCAATTGCTGCCTATTATTCTCTTGGTAAAGGCCTTTCCAGAATAGCAGAAGTAGATGCGGTCATAGCACTTGTTCGTGACTGTTTAGCCCATGTTACAAGTGGTCCGATGGTATTCAAGTACACCCTCACAATTATCCATGTCTGCAAATTAAATAATGCCGCAAAGTTAATTGACGTTGTCAATGAAATGGTGGAACAGGGTTGCCCTCCAGACAGTGTTATATATGTGGCTATCATCTATGGCATGTGCAAATATGGAACAATTGAAGAGGCAAGGAAAGTATTTGCGAGTATGAGGGAGCGCAAATTTCTAAGTGAAGCAGATGAAATAGTCTATGATGAGATACTTATAGACCACATGAAAAAGAAGACGGCAGACTTGGTGTTGTCTGGGCTGAAATTTTTTGGTCTGGAATCAAAATTAAAGGCAAAGGGCTGTTCAGTCCTGTCTAGTTGAGAATGTGAAGAGGTAAGGAACTTATCAACCTCTTAACTATTAATATTCACACTAGTCAACTTAGAGAAAAACCTGATAACTTTACAAAAAATCCTTGATGCGGAACTTGCTTTAGTACAGTAAATGAAGTTATTTCATGATTAATTACATTCAATTAAGGCGTACTCCTATAGATATTGATTAAATTCAAACCGCCAGTACATAGTTTTGAATATTTAGTTTCCGGGAAAACAGTAAAGTAAAAATTTGAATACGCGACGAAGAGCTTCTACACCTATCTATTGATTAGTAAACTAATGTCTGCACTCTGCATGACAAGATTTGTACTTTGTTTTTGAAGAATTAAGTTGATGAGCTTTGTACTTAAAAAATATGTGATTCTTTTGAACAGGAAACAAGAATTGATGTGGTTCTTTTGCATTATTTTGACTAAAAGAGATCACTTCTCTTATTATTATTTTTTTTTTATTTTTTTTCATTTTGAAAATTAGTGTCTTGATTCTTAGAAAAGCCACAACTTGCCTGATCTTGTCTAGTAAATGGTGTTTGTTTACAGTTTGTGCCATAAGTTTAGTCATCTTAACTTCCTAAACGGATCATTATTGGCAGTACTGAGGAGTAAGAAGGCCAACATTTCCTCAATTGATTTGCTGGAAAATGAGAGTGATTGTGAACTTCTTGCCATATGAGATTTGCACAATTGGAGATGCTTGGACTGTGAAGGCTTATTGAAAATACGTACTCATGGGGATTCAGCTTTCTTCTTTATGAGTTCTGTAAATATGATATGATGGTCTTAAGTTGCATATTTTTTGTTCTCACACGCAGCTATAAGTGCCGAAGTGCAGCAATGGATTGATGAACCTTTACAAGTACAGCTGAGCTTTAGGGAGTTCTCTTTATCGTTCTGAAGTTTAGATACGGAAACAATAGAATAGAACCATGACTGCATCATCATACACATGATTTGTGAAAATTATTTGAAAGCTGTAATCGCAGTAATACTGCTGCATAGACTCTAAAGAAAAGTTGTGCAAGTGTGTCCTTAGTTGTGAAAAGTTCTGCTCGGGGCTAGTTTTGCTTCATTTCAACACATCGTCTCACATAGAGTTACATTTTATTTCTCCTTGGAATAGAATAACCTGGAACCCCTATTCCACACCCCAAGGGATTCATAACATCTTATCTGTCTCATTTTTACCATCACGTGAGAAGGTTTGCTAAAAACCGGTGCTCTCTCATCAAAATTCTTTCCCATTTGCTGGTGGTTTTGATGCATGCCTATAGCAACTTGATCAGACAATTCCAGTCGACCATTTTCATTCAACAAACCGCATAAGGTGACTCCCTGAATACTGCTGCCCAAAATTGGTAATGGTTTTGTGGCTATAAATCTGCCTCCACAGCAATTTGCTTCTAGATCGAAGTGGATTATTTGATATGCATCTGAGAGCTGGGAGGAATTCATTCTAGTTTCTTGAAATAGGTAAATGAACTGCATCTTATATCAGTGCAAAGTCCTTGAAGCATATTGCTTCTGGTGATAATTTCAGGATTGCAGAGACCAACATATAGGGATCAGTATGTAAGAGAGATGTAAGTGATTGTTTTTCTTGTGTTTGAGGTGCACTTCTGAAGTTGGATTAAGTTAATGGATAGTCAAAGGGACTGATATCGGCCAATGACTACTTTAAAAGCAAATTCATGGTGAAAATTTCAGGAAATCCTGTTGAGGTTTTTCTTCTTGTCTGCTTCAATGATGTTCTGCAGCTTGCAATGCTTCCAAAACGTCTTTTTCACGTGATAGCTCTGAGCTGGTATTTATTTGATCTGGTCATTATCACAATATCAGGCTTCATTCAATTAGCCTGGTCTTTGGGCAATTTCTCCTTTTCGCTGACTCATTAACAAGTTCTTTCAGTTATTCTTGTGGACTGCAGTCCCTCCTTACAGCTTCGTTCTGTGATGGAAATATATGGTATTATCGTCATTCACACGAGCAAACCTAATCTGCTGTTAAATCTTACTGTTTGCACCTCACCCGGAAGTCGCAGAGCTATGGCATGGGCTTCGCATTGCCCCATGCCAATGCCTTTGGCTGTATGTCTGTGATGGGCGGCTTCAGCGGAGAAGGAAGAAAGGCAGTGTTGGTTTACTTGATGGTAATATTGTTGGGCGGAATTGGCCTAAATGCATGGGACGGAAGGGAAGGTCGCAGGCATACTAACGAACTTAGCTGAACGCTAGTAGACTACATCGGCGAGACAGTTTTTGGGCGTATTTGCTGACATGAAAAGCAACTGATTGGAGGCTGTTACTTGCAGGCTCTTCTATAGGCAACCTTACCTTCACGTCGACTCACCTAGCAGTTGGGGGGTGTCAATTGCTTATATTTTTGTACGGTTACGCAAAGGCTGATGAGATACAGCAGAGTTGTACGTCTCCCATCCTTGGCTCAATTCCTTGTATTGAGAGCAATAAAAGTTGGGCTTTTCCGTGTATGCTGTGTTCTATCTTCCTTCATATTGTACTTTAAACTATTGTTGCATTGCATTTTGAGTGAGACGTAGGCTGACTGCTTGTGACATAGCAGTGGCCGCTGAATAATTCGTACTTGAGTTTGGCCCTGTGACACTTCCCATGATATGGATATGATATGTGTAATGCTGGTTAATAATAATAAAACTAGAAAAGAATTTGCCCAATACAATTGCAATTGCACTATACAACTAAAATAATCCGGCTGATCAATGCTAGAAATCTGTACATAATCCAAGTATCAGCATATCTAAAACATCGAGTTCTAGAGCCATAAAGCCCGTTCCTCAACCGCACCTCTCTCTCTCTCTCTCTCTCTCTCTCTCTATAACAATATACACCTCCGCTTGGGTAATGATCGGGAACATCTAAATATAGAAACACAAATGAATCCCAGCTGCTGATCTGCTTGCTTAGATCCTTCCAAATCCTCTTTATCCCAGCGAGGAAAAACCTGGTTTCTCCTCCAATTGTTTCATATTCGAAAGAAAAAAGCAGCAATCATGTGGGAGACTTATGCTTCAATTATAAGGTGGTCGTCATCCATGATTGGGGGAGACAATGGTGGGAAAGCTGGTTCGTGAGGTGCAAAGGGAATAATTTTAAGAGTTCTTCTAGCTATCGCCTGATACTCTATGCTCCTACCTATCTTCCTCGATGAAAATGATTCAGAACCAGAAGTCGTCCTTGAGGAATTACTGCTGTCAACGGAAGCTAAAAACATGTCCTTGGAGAGAGATCCTTGAGCGGATGCAATGACAGCTCCAAATACGCCAGACTCCCTCAAACCTTGAATGATGGTCTGAAACAAGAGCAAGATGAAATGCCTGTTAAATGGAAGACCTTTTTCAACCAAACTGATGAGTGCAAGTAAAGCTTACCATGGGAGCATATATGCGAGTTAAGATTCCCTTCCTCAACAATTTCAAATTGAGAGTTCTATCAGTCCACACAACATGCTCTCGATACCTGTTGCAGAGAAAAAAAATTCGATTTTACTTCATAGGAACAAAACACGAATCCAGGAATTTCATTTGAACAAAGAAAATGAACTATAAATATGTTCGTAATGCACTCAATACAATTCATGTACAGCAGAGTGGAACAAGAACTCGGACTTTACCAGTTTAACATCTCCTCCTCTGTGGCAGTTGAAGCAATTATAAATGCCTATAATTAAATCATAAACACTTGGTCAGCATGAACATCAAACTGAAGAGTATAGAAAGGGAGATATTGAAAGAACTCAACTGAACAATCTGATCAAAGTTCAGGAAAACAGCTTTTACTAATGGTCCCAAAAATATTTCAATACGACCTCAAATTTAGACAAAGTTATAAAATCTATTTAAATATTCCATAAGCTTTTTCTCTGGCAGCGGGGGGAGTTGTCTAAAGGTAGGATTAATTAAATCTTAGCCCCTGTTTGATCCACATTCTTGAAAAATGTATTCTTCATCTACTCATTTTCAACCTCACATTCATTAATAAAATAATATTACACGCAAATCCAAAACTTTTTAACCACATATCTTCCATGACATCACTTGAAAAAATGCATTCTTTTCTCCACAACGTGTATCAAACATAGCCTTAAATTCAAGGAAGCATATCAAGCCCCTGTTTATCTATTATTCTTCAAAAACTCTTTTTTTNAACAATTTTTTTCCCCTTTTTTTTTACATTTTGGCAATGGAAACAAATTTTATAACCAATTGTGAAAAAAAATATCACTTTAATGGACAATTTCCATGTAAAATAAAGTCAAACGAATAGAAAATTTAAAAAATTTTCCGGGTGGAAAATTATACCAATCAAACACACTTGAAATCATTTTCCATGCAAAACATTTTCTAGACAAATTTTTTCCCTGTAAAACATTTTCTTTCCACCAATTTTCCACCCTTGCAATCAAACGCATCCTAAAAAATCATTATTTCAACTTCAAATTTATCAAACCATGTGCATGTTTGGAAAACATTATAATTTCCTTAAATTTAGTAGTCAAAGTCAAACATTAACTTTAACTACACATTTCGTAGGATCCATAACTACTATCCACTTTTCCATTATCACATTATGCTCCTGTTTGGTTTGGATTAAAATCTAATTAAAATCTCAAGTCAAAGTCAGCAATTAACTTTAACCACACATTTTATGGGATCCACAACTTTTCAATCATACATTTCAATAACTTTTATCAAAATCTAATAAAAATCTATTTTTAATCTCTACCAAAGGGGGCCATAATTTTAGCAACTTATAATTTTACCCAAATAAGCATTATGTCGTAAATTTTATTTTAGGCACATGAAAGAAATGCCTATTCAACGTTCAACAAAACAAATATTTATATAATTCCGAAGTAAATTATTTAGTCAGTGTTCCTCAAGTGTTTCTGAGCAAATAAAACTTGTCAGACTTAGAAGACAATCTCATCCGAGCATTTTGAATTTCGAAGTAATTATTTTACTAAGGGGGTGTTTGGTAGTGATTTGAGAATTGATTCTCAAATCAATTCTCATTTTCAACTACACATTCTTCAAGAAAATAATATTTTCCATCACATCAATAATTTTTTCTTCTTTTTCAACCACACATTTCCCGTCATATTACTATTCAAAAATCAATACAGTAAATCAATTCTCATTTTCAATCACACATTTTTCAATAAAATAATATTTTTCATCACATCAATATTTTTTTCTTCTTTTTCAACCACACATTTCCCATCATATCACTATTCAAAAATCAATTTTTTCCCCAAAAATCCCTACCAAACAAGCTCTAAGATAGCATTTTTTGCATCCATACTGCAAATTTTTTTTTTGTTGCTTAGTAGTCATAAATTGATAACAACTGATCAATCAGACAATGAAATAATGGCTTGATTTCCTAAACTTGCACATCATATAAAAACCAAACACAATCATGAATTCCTTAGCATGCAAGTTTTACTTAAGTCAGTTAAAAAGGCTTCAACCTAGGAAAAATGGATGTCCTTAATGCCAACATTATCTAGAGAATAACTATACCAACAATAAAGAATAAAAATGTACGTGCACAAAGACTCACAGATCTATCGAATTCCAACATAAAGCATCGCTTGACATCCTCCTTCGTAGGCTTACAACCACAACGATCCCGCCTAGAAGTCAAGTCAGAAAACTTGGAATATGTGTAATGTAAAACAGCAGCCTCTTCCAATTTGATCTCGCTGTCAAACAGTATGTAAAAACACGTAAAAGCCTATTGAACAGAATACAGATGTGTGGTCCAAAACAAGAAAACAGAGATGGTAGATCATAAACAACAAAGGAACATACTCAATACTTTAAGATGTGCATACAAAAACTGGGTGCATAAATAGAGCAACTTACTTTGGAGTTTTCATGTAATTGTGCCACCTGTGCGCACCATTGGGACGAAGATGGTCTTGGACTCGAGCAGCTGATTTCCCATTTCCATAGGTCAAAAAGTAGTTCGGATTGCCACGGGTTGCCTCCTTATACATGCCAAAATAAGTGTCCTTCGTTAAATGATCATAGTTCTTCTTAAACATTGATACCTGTATGACAGATACAAGAGAAATGAAAATAAATCAGTTCTAATAAATCAATGCTCAAGTCAGTGAAAATATCATGGTATGAAGAGGTCTCTGCCAAAAATATTTCTTAAACAGTCCAAAATGTACTTACTGAAAAAGGTTTTGGGGAGAGTAGGGGTGGGGTGGGGTGGGGTGGGGTGGGGGATAAATACTTGAAAAAACTACCATGCATAAGGAAAAAAATTAGCATAACATAATTTCAGCTGTATTTACATTGCAGTCCATAAATTCCTTGCAATATTAATAAGCCAATAAAAAATTGTATAACTCCTCAGGTGAACATTGACAAGAAAATCAAGTGAATATAGAAACTAGAAGTTGAAAATTTACCTCTGTGAAAGGTTCCTTGATGTCATCTCGTTCAATGCTGCTCTCCTGAAAAAAAAGGGTGGGGGGGGGGGGGGGGGTAGGGGATACTATTAGAAGCACCCTTCCGTGCTTTGGTTCTTATGCTATGTAAAGAAACTCAATATTGTAAACAAAACCATAGGAAAGAACTACACGCTAAAAGGATAAATTAAAAAATTATCATACCTTGGCAATTTGCTTAACATTTATGACATATTTGGCATCTTCAATATTTAGGCTAATAATCTTTGTGCATCTTGCAACCTGGTCACATAAGCCCAGTTATAGCCCACAAGAGAGATAAGATAAAAAGGATAAAGAACCTAAATTCATTCATTCTAAGAACAGTACCTGTAGAGGCTGCTCCTCTTGCATCATTTGTTTATCGGAAACAAGATCCCACTGGCTAGATGCAGTTAAACCAGTATCAGATTCCTCGATACCTAATATGTAGCGAAAATCAACAATATGGCATCACAACGTATAGAATGAATAAAAGATAACCCATTTCATCCATGAATTTATAACTATGTGGAAAATATAACAGAAGAAAACTCATTTAGCCTTCCCTTTAGGTAATATAGTATAACAAAGGCTCTTAAAGCACAAATAACTATTGCTATAACATCATGCCAAGAACTCTTGCATATCTATTTATACCATAAACACATCATGAATCATTTCCCTAGAAATGGCAATGATGATGTACAAATTTTTTTGTGCTAGACCAAATGAACAGTGAGCAAGTTATAAAGTTAACAACAGAATGGGCTACAGACTACATGCAACACGATGCCCATAATTTAACCAAGGAGCATCCTTTATGTTGATGTAAAGACGAGGAAAAAAATGGGGCCAGAAAACATACCACATAAATCGTTAATCTTCTTGGCGATTTCCTTCTCAACTTTCTTTATGCTAGTAGAATAAGGTCCAAAGCCCTACATACATCATTCCAAGAACTTCAACAAAAGAATGGTAGATAAGGGCTTTAAATTTCCTAAGCAAACAACTCCATTTTAGTAATTTTATATATTTATATTTATGACAAAACTGCCTATGAAGTAAAATATGATATGACTTTGTTTTACTTGAACAAAATTTAATATTTAATGCTATATTTTGGATTAATTGAACTTAAGAAGATAATATTCATATTTCAAGTCATGGAGTAAGTATTGAAAGGAAACTAACTAAAATGCATTAATTACCATAAAATTAAGTTCACTTGATGAAAAGAAAAACTTATCACATTTTCAAGAATAATCCCTTCGCACATCGTTTTATCATTTCGCCACACCTCCAAACTAATCCAAAGTAACCTGAAATAGGTAATAAAATAGGAATAAATATTAAAATACCCATTAGGACACGTACACACAAATACCATATGATGTTATCAACGTAAAACTCGATAATGCATACCATCATTTCATGAGCAATCGGTGATCAACTAATAGCTTTAAGAAACATAATTCTGCCTAATTCTAAAGAAAATCCCGAAAGAATCTCGCACTTTATTTCATAGACGACTCGAAGATCAATTAGCATTTTCATGTAGAGATGTGCATAGTAAAATGGCAATCAACAGTTAGTAGGACTGCATGAGCCTGAGAAGTTACAGAAATGCATTAGTTATTGCTAGAAGATAGAAACAGAGAACAAATTAAACAACATTGAAACTTAAAAATAAGTTTTGCACCATTTTGCCAGAAATAATATGGAAGGAGATATACTTCCCAAAAAAATGGAGGTTGACGATAGGATCTACTGACTTGTGTCCTGCATCAATAGTTAGATGTTTAGTGCTTCAGTTAAATTGGTCAAAGTACTAATATGCTACAGCAGCAACAATAACAGATTAGACAAACTACGCACAGATCAAGTACACAAATAATTAAAACGTTCACACAAAAATCAAATGAAGCACAACAAATATAAAGGATAAAAGACAACAAATTTAGATGAAGATAATAGCTTGTAATTCAAAAAGTATCAANAATTTATGATATAAAGAGCCATAGACAATACCTTGAAGTACCATATCTAATTGTTTTTTGATTGTCAAGTGCTTCCAAAAGTGGATTTGACTAATATTGGAATACATATTGAAACTTCAAAGCAGAGAAAGTACATAAATTAATTTTCCAGTACATACTTGATTCTCATAAAACAACTGAAGTGGAAAGTGGATGAAAACTTACAACCAACAAAAGAGTTGAACAAAGTTATTCAGCCATGATAGAGGGAGTAATGTAGTCACCAGGAAATAAGATAAAAATGCATTATAAGCCACATTTCATTGAACACCTTTTCCCCAAGTTCAGAGTTGTATAGCAACTCTCCTTTTTCACCATCTTCGAAGAAAAAGTGATTCTGAGCCTATAGCTATTTTAACCCTATGCAAAAACCTAATATATTTTTCTTCTCTCTATGAAACCACACTACAAATCTTCATCAGAAAAAGGACAAAAAGCAAAAAGTATATAAAAATAGTCTTTACTCAACGGAACATTATTGGAATGTTTAAAACCTGTGTAGGAGTAAAATAATATAATAACATCTACAATAGCAACTTATTATAGGAGACATCATGAAGATCTGAACAATATCATTATAGGCCATCTCAACTACTCTCAAAATATAGACTCATAAATGTTTCAATAAATCAAGGGAAAAATATAAATCAAACAACGTGACAATGCTGGCAGTTTTTCCAGAAAGTAAAATCAAAAGTTAAAATAAAATTGCTTCATCTTCGAAAAAGTTCGCTAAAAAATGTGAATTCAATAACTAACTACTTATTAGAATCGAATGGATATGTGCAAAACAAGAACAGAAGTTTCAATATAAATACCTGATGCAAATCTTGATCCAGTTGAGGGCAATACTCATCCCCAAATAACATTATTATCAGTGGGTTGCTGTCGCTTGGGTCCTATAACCCAATGGTCCCATTCCAACGCCTCTCTCCTTGCAAACCACCTGCACGGAAACATTTGAACTTAAATAGCCCCCGTTTGGCCCCCATTATTCCCCATTAAATTATAATTCATTTTTCTTTTCTTATTTTATCAACTATACATTCTCCAAAAAATTACTATTCTTCTCATTTTAATTTGAAATAATGGGGGCCAAACGGGAGCATAATCTGCGAACATGGCCAGGTTTTTAATCAAGACAGAATTGTACCTCTCCAGAGCCATAACAACAGAGCTCTCGCTCTTCTCTCTCACTAATTTCTTCCTCGCCCCAAGAGGATAAGCATAGAAAAACAGCAAGGGCTAGTTCAGATGGTTCTCCAACTGTAACACTCTCGAAGTAAAAGAGCTATAGACAGCATAACAGTTAAACACAAATAAATTGAGGAAATATAGGGATATTTCATGTCATTAACACTCACCTGGAGAAACAAAAGACAACCACCAATTGCACGTTGCTTCCCTTGACGAAAGCGGGCTACTTAAATGCCCCGTTTCACTCCCTTACCTTGTATAGTTCAATAATTTCTTCACCAGAAATGTAAACAACTTTATCGGGGACAAAATTGCTCCAAAAAGAAAAGAAATAACAAAAAACAAACAATAAATTAAAATAGAAAAATTAAGAAATTTATAACACCGCCAAATCCCAGTTATACGGTGAAGGGAACTTTACAATTAGTTGCATAAAATACAGGAAAAAGATTACTCTACTTCAAATTAAAGAACATAAATCCATAAACCCTCAGAAAATGAAATACAAAATACCCGTTCATTTTAAATGCAAGAAATGTAACACATAGACATAGTTAGTTCTTGTCCCGACTTAAGTTTCCAGTAACAAGTTACAAATTGTACCCACAAGCAACAAAATAAAGCAGAAAACTAAACAGGACGATTTTGTTTCCCACAAGCATATACTCGTGATCTTTGGTAAGCCGTTTGATGTACTTATAAAAAAAAATACAGAAGAAAAGATGAGACGCATTTGAACACATACTCGTGATTAACACAATGGAAATGCCACAGATAGTTTCTGATTAACACTTAGAACCCTTGTTTTTACTCAAAAAGCTTTCTAATTTTAAACCCATAGTATAAATTGGAAATATTTAACAGAAGACAAAACAACATTACATCTAACACCAATATTAAACCCCACATCCCAACAATTTAAACCCATAAATTAACAATTGAAAAAATCCATTAAAGAAGCCACGACCACACAAAACGTAAAAACAGTAGTAATAATCATCAACAAAAGCCACAAAGATAAAATCAAACAGAAATAACAAAATTTAAGGTGCGGCAACAGCAGGGGCTGCATCGACCTACAATTCACAAAAATCAAACAATTAAAAACAAAATTGAGACAAAAAAAAAATGTGAAGGCTAACAAAATCTACCTTGGAAGCTGATTTCTTAGTGGATTTTCCCATTGAAATACTGTAGGCGATTGAAGGGTGAAATGGAAATGAAGAAACAATCATTTTACAGTATGAATTTTTCTTGGGGCAAAGATGCTTTTAAAGTAGAAGATGAGAGTCCAACTTTGAATATTGATTCAAACCTAGAAGCTAAATCCTCCAAGGATTTGAAAAGTACTGAAGAAGGGATCCAAGTATTTCTTGGGAATCTTAGTAAAGAAAAGCGTTATATTGGCGTAAGTCAAGCTGGATAGTTTCAATTGTTCCAAAGAATACAGTGAGCACAAAAAGAAATAGTTTGTCTCCCCCACCCACACTGAAACAAAGAGATGCCAAGTTACTTACATAATTGGGAAAGATTACCATGTCCACATTCCCAGGCACGTCAATTAGCAATTGCCTCAAAGAATACTCCCGAGCACCAGCTGGATGTAACAATTCATCAGTGTCTAGATGAATTATCCAGTCAGCGCCAGCATCCTAGAATTATAACACACAAAATATTTTATTAATTCTACAAGGAAAAATGGTAAATTTCTGCTACACTTGTAATAATCCATACCCTTGCCATGACAATTGCCATCTCCATGTTGAGGGATTGCTTCACAAAAAGCTCATAATTGCAAGGCTTGTAAAAGAAACTTGACAGCCATGTTTCATTCCAGATCCGGCTGAAGCATCAGGGAGAAAAAGGTGTAAGAGAATAATAACCACTGCTATTATATCATATGGAGATTTCTGCAACTTCAGAGACCAAGGTACTAATTCCAGAGAGCTTACAGTAAGACACAGGATGAAAGATAATTTTTGATTTACGATTTTAGAAAATGTTAAAATGTATCCAATGAACCATTAGTTTGCTTTGTCTATTTCATATAATTTATCTATGCTGTCAAGCAAGCTCCAGATAATATCAGAAGTGAATGACCTCTTAGCTTGCTGCTCTTCCAGCTCTCTGGTTCTGTATATTACTTTCACTCCCTGCAAAGGATAACCAAATTACATACCCATTGATTCTGAATGAAAACATTATACCGTTAAACATGGAATAACATAATCATCAGATTGAAGGGTCAGCTAACACAAATCCAGAAAAGATATCAGCAAGAAAAGTTATCAGATAATCAGGTCCCTGCTCGACATGTACTTGGAAATAGATGGGGTGAGTTTGGGCAGGAGGCAAGACTAGTAATTGGCAATTGATATAACCTGGTCATAATTTGTAGATGAGTTCTAGTTCAACACTGATGTTCATGTAGACAAAATACTGGCAACTACCGTCCCACTTCTCTCAGAGACCAAACACCAAACTGAAAGCCACTTAAGACTTACAAAAGAAGCTCCATTCAACTTCTTTTCCCACATGCTACCCATTAAATCACTTGGTAATGTGTAAAGAGTCAACTAACGTTGGGTAAGTCTAACTTTAAGCTCCAAAAGGATTAGCACAATGATATCACACTTTGAATTTCGGAATTAGCACTGGGCTCTTATATTAAAAAAAAATCAGGCAACCATCCAACAAATTGCTTTTTGAAGATACTGCTTCAACCAAAGACCAGATAGTTTTCAAGTCAAAGTCATCCTACAAAAACGGCTTATTCAGCATTTTATTGAGGTCTAACTTATACATTGATTATTATACATTACCAGATTATCAGTATTTCTTCAGAAATACAATCACCCGTTGTCAGCTTAAGTCAGCTAATTAGACCATTTCTCCGTAAGAATACTACAGACTATCACTTATATAACCATAACCTATTGATACAACTGAAATCAAGTTACACTAAGGGATCTGGTTACGAAAAAGGCATGACATTATATTTAACTTCTGGTGTACATTTTTATAATGTGAAGCAATTGGTCTCTTATGTGTTCTTTACTCATAAAGAAGCAACTCGTAACCGTTCATTTTTTTATTAGTCACACCTAGTGACTTTTTCAACTCAGAGCCCAAATATCAATACTGTCCTCTGGTCAAATTTCTTTGTAGAGCCATCTCTTCATGTTTAAAGGACAGGTAATGAGTTTTTCTTTATTTCTTTAGTTGAAAGTAAGAAAATCCAAGATTATTTTACAATGCAGTGTTTATGCAGATTAAATTTTGACCCGTAAGTGTATAACTACTCTTACAAAGCAGCAAAAGAAAACAGCTAGCAGGATACAAACTCACAGGAATGGATTCAAGGACTTTGGACACAGCAGGAGATGCAGCCTTCCCTTCAACAAAAAGCAAAAACGTTGACACCCCAATAACTTTATGATAGAACATCCATGGCAAAATCTGCTCTAAGCCAGCAGACGTACTCGTCGTAATACATATCTGCACATAATAGAGGAAGATAGTAAGGTCATCGCCAATCACTTACACTAACACATTATTTATTAGGAAACGAATTTATAATGAAATCAATTATGGAATGTCAAGAACTAGAGTCAATTACAAGTGCAGTGGGTTTGGTGGGTAAATCACCATGAGAAAAGGACATCTATCATGTATTATGTGGTTGGATGTAGCTGTTAATTGGTATAAGATTATCTGGAGATAAGTATATCCTACCAACATATCAATTCATAACCAATGTGAGTCAAAATCTAAGCCAATTTTGTACGTGGATAATTCTCAACTCAATGATCATTTATTACTGCATTATCTCATCTTCAATTTGAACATAGGCTTCATATAACATATACTTTGAAAGAGACCAAATGGCATGAAAGAAATGTGACACCAGATCCATCTGTTTCAAAAGCTGAAAAGTCCTATTATTTCCAGGATTTATAAAGGCATGTACCAATAGTAACAGCGACAGTCTTGTTTAAACATCTCTACTCTGTGTACGGGAAAAATATATAGAACTCCCAGTTTATGGGAAAGAAGTGTGCATCCCCCCAATCCTAAAATGCAGTGATCTTTCAACAGATTTACGTTGCACTTTACATTAAATGCAAAAGTGAAGACAAAATTAATTATCTGAGAAATAAAAAAATTCCCCCAAACAGTATCCAAAAATCGAAGTCAATGAAATAAGTCTAACCGATGGAACTATATTCTCTGAAAATCCAGAAACGCCGTAAAAACAAGATTTCAGTTTAATTTTATTGAAACAAGATGGAAGACCCTCAAAAACTTAAATGACACAAACAAACAAAATTCAAATGACATTAACAAAGATCACAAAACCCCAAGAACAGATCAAAACCAAAAAACTTAAAAAAAAACAACAACAACAACAAAACAAGAATCATACCTTGGGCTTCAGATCCGAATCAAATTTAAATTTCCAGTCTCTGTAGTAAGGAAACGACGCCGTGTTGGAGTGTCCCAACAGCATAGAACAATCAAAGGAATGCGAAGAAGATGAGTGTCCCCCGGTGGCAAGAGGGGAGGAGTCCATGCCGGGGAACTTATGGGACTCATCGGGGGACCATCGGGAGATGGGATCGTCGACGCCACCGCCTCTCCACTGAAGGAAGAAAGCGAAGAGAGAGAGTGATAAAGGGAGAATGCTCAGGAGGAGGAGAAGCTTCACAATGAAGGAGTGATTGTTGGCTGCAGAAGACGGTGGTTGGGGCCTGAGGGAGGTATGCAGACCCGCCATTGGACTGTTGGAAAATCAAGAAATGGGCCAGTTGTGGTGGGGGAGGAACTTTTGGAGGTTTTATATTGCCAGTTACTCTGGGGAGGAAATTGTAATTTCTCAGAAAACAAAGGACTTATGAGAAATTTTTAGTGTGGTCCAAAAAGTTCGGATACTGCCATTAAATTGTAGGTGTAAACCTAGGGGTCAACAAAAATTGGCATAGGTATCACCGGTGTTTGTGATTTGGAGGAGTGTGGTTTAAATAATGATTATGGTTGCTATCATGTCTGTAGACATAAAAAAAAATGTCAAACAATATCAAACTTACCCCGCTTGTTTCTTATTTTTTATCCATAAAAATGAAAAATATGATCGTTATCTATCACGTCAAGTCATCAATTTTGAATTTCTATATCTTGTGTGGGACCCAATAACGGCTATATTTTTCATTCTCATTCTACAATAATGAGAATTAAACGGGCCATTAATGTAAATCACAATACACGCATGTGTTTGGCACCCGTTTTGGGTGTATTATAAATTTTGAAACTGTAATTGATGGAAGAATGTGTGATTGAAAAGTAATAAAAAGTTTTAAATTTGTAAGTAATATTATTTTATTTAGAGAATGTGTGATTATATTTACTTCTCTTTAATGACAATTATTGTATTAAGATTTGTAAAACATATTTCCAATCTCTTGATGAAGGAGATGACATTTATGTGCTTTCAGTTTGATAAAATTTATATGGAGGTTATGAAGAAATTGACATTATTGTGCCAATGCCTGTAATGAAGTTCAAATATGAAAATGAACTTTTGTATTTTACAAAAACTATGCCTACCAAGTCAGTTTTCCTGTCAGAAAAAGGAATTTAAGGAAAGGTGACGATGCGATAGTATGATATGTATGTTTCACATGTAGTCGATGACGACGAACCACCGGTACAAGTGCGGAGATAGGTGAAACATGACGTATTAACATTGTCTATCTTGAGCACAATCACAGAATAAGCCTATCAAAATCGAGGTTATATCAATGCAATTGCCAAATGAGTGCACGCGTCAAAAGTCGGCTTGAAATAAATGACATTGTTGGAATTCCATTGCATAAAAGTTTAACTCCGCCGTAGTTGAAGCTAATGGATATGAAAGAGATGGCATGCGTTGAAAAAGATTATAGAAATTTTATGGACAAAGTGCGATTGTTAAGACTTGATGAAGGAGACGTCGTTGCAATTAAAGTCTTTTTTTCTAAAAAATGCAAACGAGTACTCGTGGCTTTTATTTTAGTATAGATTTGGATGAAGATTGTCGGTTGAGGAATGCGTTCTGGGCAAATAACAGGTGCAGACAAGCCTATAATGAATTTCGTGATATGTGGTTACTTTTAACACTACATTCTTGACTAACAAGTATGATATACCATTTGTTCCATTTTTTTGAGCTAATCATCATGAACAATCAACACTACTTGGATGCGGTCTAGTTTTGAATGAGGATACAAGGACTTTTGTATGGTTGTTTAAAACATGGTTGGAATGCATGTACAGTCAAGCTCCAAGTAGAATTATAATAGATCAAGATCAAACTATACAAAATGCAATTGAGATCGTCTTCCCAAACACGAGGCACATATGGTGTTCGTGGTTTATTTTAAAGAAGTTACCAGAAATGTTCAACAACCATAGGCACAAAGCTTCTATTCTTTTTATTGTACACAGGTTGGTGTATGATACACAAAGTCCTCAAGAGTTTGAGGAAAATTGGTATAAGATGCTTGCACATTATGAATTGCAAAAACATGGTTGGTTGACTGCACTTTACATCGAGAGAAGCTATTGGGTGCTATGTTATTTGAAAAATTCATTATATGTCGGTATGTTACCACTCAACGAACACTCTCGTATTTACGTAAAAAACTACCTATACAAGTAAGTTTTTGAAAGGACTTCGTTAAACATCTCTTTATACTCGCCCGTAATTCTTCATTGCAACTTTTCCTCAAAGTGCGATTAAAGTTTAGTAAAACGCATATAGTCCCTTGTGCAACAAGGTATGATATGGAGAAGTAGTTTCAATTAGTGTACACGATCTCTAAGTATTGAGAGTTCCAACAAGAATTTACGGGAAAGGTGTATTGTGAGGTCTTAACTGCTACAGACTCATTTTTGCAATCCACTTATGAGGTCCTTGAGGATATCATTCGCAATGAAGGTATGAAGAAACAAATATTTAGGGTTTCCTTTCGTAGGGATAAATGTGAATTTGAGTGCAGTTGCCACTTATTTGAGTTTAGAGGAATTATTTGCAAGTATGCAACCTCAGTTTTAATCCGTCATAATGTGGTGTTAATCCTGGAGAAATACATATTAAAGAGATGGAGGCGAGATGTGAACTGACCTTACACAAGAGTTCTCATCAATTATGATGGTTTAATTAGTAGCGTCGAGTGGTTCAACTATGAGCAATTGTGCTGTGCATTTACCAAGTTAGTTGATGTGGTAGCACATAACGAAGAATGATCTAGGAGAATTATAGATCGGATCGAGTTCGAAACAACAGAAGCATCTCAGTCGACGTCTACTAATGTGGGCTCCCAATGCTTTGAATCATTAGCGTGTGCTAGCGGAAGCATATTGGAACCAAAGTACCTGAAAAGTAAAGGAGCTCCTAAAAAACTTCGTATAAAGGGCTATCTAGAAACTAATTTGAAAATTCTAAAAGTTCTCAAAAGATATGAAACATATTCAAGCTTCATGACATAGTTTCAGCTTCAGTCTTGATATTCTTGAACTAATCAACTTGCAGTGTCTTTTAAAACTTTTTCCATGATGTATAAGTGCCCACGAACCCAACTAATGCAAAGATGTGTAAAAGGTCGAAGAAAGGAGTCCACGTTCACTGTTGAGGTGATTATAGTACTTAGTTGTATGATGTTAGTCTTAGAATAGGAACTATAGACAAGCACCTCTTCCTCTCAACTATGAAGATGTCGGGAGACAGAATAGCTTTGAAGTGTTGTGATGGCAACGAATAAGCAACTATAGGATTTCTTTTGTTTTTTGGGGGCTGAAGATGATATTGTATCATGTCATAGACAGTAATTGGGTTCTATGATATTATGTAGAACATTAATTATCTATTGTATAAGTTCTTGGGTTCTTCATAGGCGCTACTTTACTGATTATTTTTCTTCTCTTAAGCCAATTATATTGTGTTGTATATAATAACACTTAAGATCAGTTTATATGTTACAGCCTTTCTGTCCTGTATCTGTGTAGTGAAAAATTGAAGCAGATGTTTTTAGGTTCAACATCATAAGATTTAGGAGTCGGGTTTGAAGTTGGTGTATATGGATTTTGGAGAAAATATACAGTGATGATGCTTCTTATGTATAAGTTTCATAGCACACGAAACAAACTTAAAATATTCTCCATGCCAAAAGAAATTCTCATTTAAGCAAACTAGTTTTAAATAAAAAAACAATAACAAACCTAATCAATTATATTGCACATAACCATCCACTTAAACAATTACATCCATAAACAACTACATTGCTCATATCCATCTATTTAACATTCCATGACAGTTTTCTTTCCTTTATCGTTGCCTTCCAAAGCTCGTTTTCCCTTGTGAATAGTTATGTTCAGGAAAATCTCTAGGTCACCCTCCTCAATAGATATTTTAGTCAATTCTTCGAACATATGCGACAAATCATCGAAATGATCTTTAGGCTTCAAGATACCACTTGATTCACCTTCAATATGCAAGGGATATTCTTCGATGGGCGAAACATTACTCCACTTAATTCAGTGTGGACACAATTTATCGATGCTGAACGTGAAGTTTTTGGTTATTGATTTGATGATGATAAAAATATAAAACAATATTACGACAATACTAAAAATGACATAATTTATAAATTATACTTGTTCTTTGCGAGTTTTCATATGTTGATATCGTTGTACAATAACTTCATTATCGAGCTTCAAAAATATATATTTCTCTACATAAACAATTATTCTATCATTCATCCACTGATCACCCATCTGATTACACAATATGTTATTTACAATGCTCGTTGCAGAAAAGAGTCTGTTCATAATAACTGTAGCAATCGGTAGAATCAATACTAAAGTCAAAAGTCTGTAAACCATTAGATATACCATATTTTTCTTTGTCAGAACTAACTTATCTGCAAGATCACCAAATTCGAATGGTGGATGAGGCCACAGAAACTGAGTGGCGAGAAGATTGAGGAGGCAATGGAAATTAAGTAGAGCCGGGACTGGGAGAAAAAAAAGGAGGAGGCGGAGGACGAGAAGGAGGCGGAGTGGAGACGGAGGCAGAAGGGGTTGTAACTTGTAATTGGGTCTAATGAATTTAAATTATGTAATATGGTATTGGATTGATTGGGTTGAAGGGTTGAATTGAATGGTATTGGGCTAAATGCTAATGGGCTTCATCAGTTATGGGCATTACTTTAAAAAAAAAGGCCTTCAGATTGGGCCCAGAAGTTCAAGCTGCACTGGACTTCATTGGGCTCCGCCCCTGGTCACAAGTACAATAATGGACCATCTTTCCTTTATTTTCAGTGTTCTTTTCCACCTCCACCCATTTGATGAAACCCTTACCACATTTTGGACATACTCTGTTTTTGGGGCATTCCAACATGTGTCCTGGTTGCCTACAACTATGACAATTCATTTACTCTTGCTTGTCATCGAACAATACTAACACAACCACAAAAATTAACCAAATCCATATAAACAAAAAAAATTCCGAGATACCAAATTGTAGTGACAAATAGAAGACCAATTAACACAGATAAAAAAATTTACCTATGACAAAACTTTACCGATTGTCCAGTTAACAAACATTACTAGACATCAACAAATAAGCAAAACTAAATGGTGGGATTGTTCTTCACCTGTTAAATTTTGCAAATCCATTTTATAGCTATTTACTACAACTATAAACTTAAATTAACTACACCATTTCATGAAACCATTATA